TCACTACCACGCAGGAGTGGTAGGCATACGACTGCCTGAATGTCGAGTTGCCTCGGGGAGATTACCGAATCGAGCAGGAAGGAATTATCTGCCTGGTGGGTTGGGTGAATTGTTGGTGTAATGACATCTCTTGCAATAAGTATATATATATATATATATATATATATATATATAACACGTCATCAATTACATAGAATTGGCAGATGTGCCACAACATATGAAGAAAGAGATGTGAAAACGGTTTAAATGTAAATCAACAAATAAGAGTCTCGCAACAGGTGGGCCATTGACGCCGGTTACCAGCCATGTCTGCAAGTGTATCAAGCCATTGGTGTTCTCTGTTCTTGGAACCCCAACCTGGCATTCTAGAGCGCCCTACCACTGCCAGTTTTGAGGTTAGCGTCTTTATTGTTCGATCCCAGGTTATTTGCTGTCCAACGTGTCACCGCTTTCAGTTAGTGTCTGCTTGCGCGAACATAACACGACGGGGCAATCTTTGAGCCGGCATCCGCAACATATGTCCTAGCCATCGAAGTCTCTTGAGCGAGATGATGGCACTTAGCTGACGACTGAGATTGTCTGTGGTGAAGATTCTTAGGCGAACCTCGTTGGTGCCAACATATTCTGGTGATGCAACGAAGGCAAACATGGTCAAAGACACTTAATCTCCGTAGGTCTTCTGCGTGGAGTAGCCAACTCCCATAGCTCTAGAGTAGAACACAGCGTACTGTGGCATTGTAAACGCGGCCTTTCAAGGAGAGACTGAGATCGAGTCGGCGCCACAAGTGAAGTAGGTTAGCGAAAGCCATTTGAGCCTTGCGGATACGAGCTGACATTTCTTCCATCAGTCCTCTTGAGCTGAAACAACTCCCGAGATAAGTAAAGTGATTGACGATTTCCAACTGGTCCTTCATGAGCGTGAGGACAAGTGTAGACTCTTGCCAGTCTTGTTGTAAAGCCTAACATTTAGATGGAGGAAATGTCACACCAAACTGCGTGACGGACAATGCTAACTTACACAGGATATTTTGAGCGTCCTGGGAGGAGTCGCAGAGTAAAACGATGTCGTCAGCATATTCCAAGTCACGGAGTCGATCATCTGGAAAGAGCTCCACACCGAAAGCGCTGCACTTTTTTATAGCGCTGCTTAGGATTTTGTTTATCGCGAAGTTAAAGAGGAAGGGCGAAGACGAGCACCCTTGTCGAACTCCGCTTGTGATGGTAAATGAAGGGGAAATGCGATAATAGACCTTGACGCGGCCTGATGCGTTTGAGTAGACGGCTTTTAGGTTTACATACTTCTCAGGCACACCGCTTCCTGACATACAAGTCCAAAGAGCTGCTCTGTCAACTGAGTCAAACGCAGCACGCGTGTCCAAAAACACAATGATGGTCGGTCTACTGAACGTTTGACGTTGCTCGAGGATCTGGCGTAGCGTAAATACGTGATCAACGCGGCTCCGGCCAGAGCGGAATCCAGCTTGTTCTTCGTGAATATGACGCTCTCTTGTCCAACTGAACCTGCGAAGGATCAACGACGTTAACAACTTGGATGCAACAGAGATGAGACTGATCCCTCGGTGATTGGAGCAATCGTGGCGGAGGGTCTTGAAAACAAGTACGACGTCCGCCAAGCTCCATTTAGATGGAATGGATTCAATATTCCAGATGCTTTGGAATAAGGAAGTTATTTCGCGAAAAAAAGCTTACACCACCTCTTGCGAGGTGAAGACCAACTTGCATACTAATTGATCCGCTCCTGCTTGGCACTATTGGTTGGTCCAATCAATACTTGAGGAATTAAAGTCTCCAATGATGAGACCGCTGTCAACCCATTTGAGCATCCCACTGAGTAATTCGAAGACTTGATCTTGGAGACCGGTGGATAATACTACTGGACTCGTAGCCTCTGGCTGTGAGTTTTGCTCGGCAAAATAAACCCTCGCCATGTCCCTCGGGATCTCTAAGACAACCCAGCTGGACTGTGGCTATATCCGCGCGCACGTACTGTGCCACTCCTACGCCGCCTCGGATACAGCATCCATCGACACAGTATAGGGTACGTCCTGAGATAGCCACCTCCGTGTCTGACAAGTCATCCGTAAGCCACGTTTCATTCAGTGCCACTATAGTTGGTGATTTGTACGATATCAAGAACTCCAGGTCATCCCGCTTGTTCAGCAGTCCTCCTACGTTGGCCAGCAGTATAGATGCCCGCCGGCATTGGTCAACTTCCTCTATGGAGCGTGAGACGCTCCGAGGGAAATTCAACATAGCTGGAGGCTCCTCAGAACCCGAAACTCCCG